ATCAAACAGCAATATAACACAGGTGATATATTCACCACCCACTAACGACACTTCTTCTGATCCAGTAGCAAAACAGTTAGAGATCAAAATAAGATCAGTAGTGTGCATGTCTATGTTAGCGGGATTGCCACCAAAACAATTCCCGTGCGAGTTTTGTACCAAAGATTTTGAACCGGTATTCAACAATGTTACCTCATTCTGTGTACTAAAAGGTATCTGGGCCAACTCAAATAACGCGACATCATTAGAACAAAATTTGAAATGGATGGGCGATTCTAATTATTGTGAATGGATCGGTGTGACTTGTGGTCCTAACAGTCAGAATATAATTGGTTTGGATATCCGGTTTCCAAACACTCCTAAAGTACTGCTTAATGATATTGGAAAGTTAACAAGTTTGCAAACATTGTCGATATCTGGCGACGCAAAAATTCCAAGTGGTGTCATTCCCCCAAGTATATTGCTGTTTGATGCTGATGATGCTAACGTATTTTTAACCATCACTACATCTAGAACTATTAAATTTCCTAACAAGAATATTATAATAAGAATTAATATAATAATTAAACAACAATTCCTATTTTTCTTCTCCTTTCTATTATTATTATTTCTTTTTCCTGACTCTTCATCATTATTCTTTTCTGATCTTTTAAATATCTTTTTTATTTTGCAACAACAAAACATTGCTTTGATTATTTTACTAAATATTGAAGATGAGGAAGAAGACGATGAAGCAGGAGGATGAGGATTTACAAATACAATGGGTGATCTTGGAGTTGGCGTTGGTTTCGTTTTTATATCAACTGTTGTATAATAATTATTATTATATGGCTCGATTGTTTTATTATCAAATATCCTTACTGCTCTTTTTTCTTTTTTAGTATTTTTATTATTACTTTCGGTCTGTTGTTTTTGTTTTTCTTGTTGTGGTTCTTGTTTATTTTCTTCCGGCTCTTTTATCTTTTCTTTTTCCTCTTGATTTTGTTCTTTATTTGGGTTTATGCTAAGACCAAGTTTTCCTGATTCACTTTTTACTCTTTTTAATTGGGTGTTTTCAGCTGCTGTGTTTACTTTAACTTTTTTAATTTTTATAATGCCGTCACTACCTTTTTTTCCTTTTCTTTCGTTTTTATCACTATCGTCGCTATCTGAAGAGAAGGTTGATGACTCGACAGTATCTGATGAAACGTTTCTGTTATGTTGCCTATTATAAAGATCGTTGTTTTCTCTGTAATCTTTGTCGTTGTATTTAATACTTTTGTCGTTATTAGAGTCGGACCGGCGGCTCATAACAAGTAAATATAACTTATTGTTGTTTAAAATTGGAGTTGGAACAAACTTTTTTTGTTAAAGGTCACGACGTTGTTTTTAAAAAGTTGACCGTGCCTGCCTGGTGCAACTTTTTTTTTTTTTAAAGAATAACGATAATGTTTTAAGGAAAGAGGAAAAAAAGGTAGCTAGGCAGTCAAAAAACAAAAACAAGTTTTTAACTATTAAAAAATAAACTTATATAGGAAAGAAAACCTAAAAACAATTCATTTTTTTAATTATTATTATATATTACACAATAGTAGTCGGACAAGGCATTTTAAAAGTTCGTGTAACAAAAATTATCCACTTTAGCAAATATATAGACAAGGTCTCGATTTCTGGTAAACCACGTGATATCATTCAAATACTAAACAATTCTTTATTTAAAACAAAAAAATAACATAAATAACTCATAAATACGTCAATTAGACATTACCTTGTTTCTTGTTTCTTGGGTACTTTTATTTTTAAATAAGGATAAGGTAAATTATTTTTAGAAATAATGATCCGATTTTTTTTATTTTCTCAATCCCTTATATATATCACAAGTTATTTTTTTTTATTTGAAAAATTACAAAATTCGGTAATCGTCTTTAAAACTCGGTCTAAAGACCTTCTAAGTTTTGCAAATCTTATAAGTATAAAGTCATTTTCTGTCCTACCTTTTAAAAAAATGGCCTCATTAGTTGATAAAAGAGATTTTCTCAAAAAAATCATTTAGTTAGTACTATCTTAAAAAGGATACCAGTTATGTAACCTCTATATTACAGTCAGGGTTTTTACCGAATTTGGAAATACTAAATACTGTAATGATCGACTCTTATGAAAAATTCTAGAAGAAA